AAGAAGAAAGTTAAAAGGGTTCCTCCTCAACCACATCCTCTATAGGATGGATGCCTTACCCATCTTAATTCAAATCACAAGTGTAAAGCAGTTGAGTGCAGTTTGGCATATACAAACGTATGGGGCTGACCGATGTGCAATTCAGTGTTTCAACGTCTCAGAAGTGTCCAGTACAGCTGATATCCACTCACGCAGTCGGGCGGTGTCAAGAGGCATAGAATGAGACCACCCGCAGCGTTTTCCACCTCTGATAGTTTTCTTCTTGGATCGATCACAGACCGGCCACCATTCGTAGAAAAGGCAACCACAATGGGGCGCTCGTCCGCCCCTCTGGACACTGTCTCGACGATTGTGACGATATCAACTATGAAAACCAGTGCTAGCCTGGGCAAGGCCTGGTCCTGCGACTTTAAGCTAATTGTCATTGCACCAAGTTCTCCTCTGGAACTATAGCACAGCCACAAATGTACTTTATGTGGGAGCTATCTAGTCGACTCCCCTTCTGGATGTCCTTTTCAGGAATCGCTCAGGTCCTTGAATGAAACCTCCCAGGACCAAGAAATAGGCTAAAAAATTGCTTCTTGACATTTGTTGAGAGTGCTGACAAACTTCTATGCTTCAATGAGATTCCTCATTTCAGGAGTCACCCAGTTCATCACATCCATTGGATCCTAACGGTTATGCCAGTGATCGAAATGGTGCCGTAACTCCAGACGATGCCCCAATTGTTGAAGATGACGAGTTATCAGTACGTTGTTAATATTCATTGAGTCAAACGTCTTTTAGTCTGTGTCAACCAACATGGTGAAGTGAAAACTGAGGCCAAGCTGTCGAGCTCTGCAATCATTCCTCCTCCTAATTTTTATCCCTTTCGAGACAATATTCACAATGTTCACCACGGCTAGAGCACATTCCGATGAGACCATGGCATTATTTTCGATAAAGTCACGGGTTAAATATTTTCAAGTGCTGAAAGAAAGCCTTCGTTCGCTTTGGAAGTAGCGTAGAGTTGTTTCTAGTAATGCAGCAGCGATGGAAGGGCTACCAAGGTGGAAGGTCTCTCAGTGATACCGCTGCCGGACATCTTATATAACCCCCACTCGGCGACGGGGGGGGCATTTTATACTTTCGTTGGTTCACTATTTCCAGTTTACAGTATCACTCTGGTGAAACCTGTGAACTCTTGTAAAGCCGAAGCAAGGTGGCACGCCATCATGGTAAAACCTGTCAACTCGAGAAGAAGCTGTCTAGATATGTCGTCGATGGGAAAAAGCAAAGGTGCAAAATGCCCCCGTCGCCGAACTGCACCCCCCCCCACACCATTGTAGTCATTGCTCTGAAACCTGTATCTGATTGTTACAGTAATCGAAGCACCTCTTTCAGCCCACTCTATGGTTTCAGCTTTCACAAAAAGATATATGATCGTAGTATAGTGAATAATTGGTTCGGACAAGAAACACATGCTTCAGGGTGCGGATGGCAAACAGCTGCTGAGTGGGTCGTGTCCGGATCTCAGCGAAGAGCAGCTCGAAATCTGGGATAATTTTCTGGTTAGTGATGAATTTGGTGCCTATTGAGAGATTGTAAAGTCGTAATCTCAGAACAGCGGATTAAGTCCACTAGCCGATAGGCTCTCGAGATAGTAACCCATTTAGACTGACCACTTATAAATCAGTGGCCCAAGAGTTGCTACGAAACACAACACGCACTATGAAAATTGCATAGCTATGGCTAGTATAGTAGCTATCCTCCTCTCCCACTCCCAGTATCGCCAATGAAGAGCCTCGCTGCCATTTCTTTCAGAACAGGTCAGGGTAATGTGAAAGCCCCTCAATGCCCCCACCCACCCTTCATTTTTGCCAACTTCTTTCTCTTCAGTGGCTCAAGGACCACGGAGGCAATACAATAAGGGACAGGATTTCTCTTCGTTTTGGAGTGCGGCGCGCATTCTGCTTTCACTCAGAATCGAAAAGGCTCGTTGAATGCAATACGGCCTGTACACCACTTTCAGGGACCAGCTGATGTACAAGTCTTGTTTTTTATCTCCACCCACAAGCCTAATACCATTTCATTGGACGCGCACGGTAGAAGTTTTGCTTACAGGGCCACTTCCTGCCGTTGGGAGAGAATCCTCCAAGAAATGCCCCCTTCTCAAAATTCTCCTATCCCAGTACGACCCTCCCCCTCCATCTTCCATCCTATCTACCATCACCCTGAATTCTTCCAACTCTCCACCACACTTCCGGGATTTTTTCCGAAAAACCCTCAATCCCTCTCAATTCACTTGGAAAACTACCTATTATACGAGAAGGGGAAAAGGCGTATGGCTCTCTGGAAACAGAAAAAAATAGAGAAAAAATCAACAATCCAAAGCATTTCTCTCGAAGGCAATTGCGATGACCTTTGTCTTCCTACGGCAACCAAGCAGGATCCCTACTCACTGGTGATCGCCAACTTATAACATGTCCTGTTTGTTCAGCCGTTGTGATCAGGGATTTCACCAGCGGACTGGGCGCGTGGTAAGCAAACTATTTACCACTGTACCACTTTTCAGGTAATACCTGCTACAGTAGAAACACTAGAAATCTCGGGATGCTCGCAGTTTCATTTCACCACTTCAGTCTATTCACACCGATAGGAATCCTTAGAAAGCGAATTCCTAATTCGTGCATCTCCTACACTGCCACCCCACGCCAGTCACGAACCGCATCATAAAGGCCAAATCGTAGTAGCGAATGCTTTTTGAATTGCCGGGTTAATTTCCTGAGTTAGCTGCATAGCTTTCAGTGTTCACCAGGTGAACAGTGAGTCATCGAAATGCTGCGGAAGCATTTGTTGCTCAGTTTTGATGAACGGCGGTACTTTCTCAGCCACGCATTGAAATATGTCAGCCGATTGCGTCAGAGGATCTATTTTCTGCCCGATTGAAGCAGAGTGCATAATTTCTTGCTGAGTGAGCACAGACTTGATCCATGAGTCGCACATGTCCAGCAGGCTGCACAGCCTCCAGTCGCCCTCATCGAGTTCGAAAGGGACGAATTAGTGGTGAAACACAATCTTATGAATACGTGGGTGTGGTTGCTCCTTATCTATAGCATCACCACTAATGTAAGTGCAATTTTCGTCTGAAAGGCCGCTTACTGCGCCGCCACCTATCGCTGTACATTACTTTGGCTGCCCTGGTCGCAAAATGTGGCGGAATGGGATTTGGTGGTATCGACGGATTAGTCAGCTGCTTTTATGGTAATGGAAGATAGGTCTAAAACAGCCGATAAGTACATCAGGGTCCTTCGGTCAATGCGATCACACCATGTGCCCACCCTACACTGAGATATGGAGAGCCTAGGCCAGAGCCCCTAGGCCACTGGCGTGGGTCGTTAAATCTTTTTGCAAAGCATGACGCAGCCAATGAATTCTAAATAGTGTAGTACCTACGTTGCCAAAATCGATTAGATCGCCTTGGTGCGAATGGCGCCTGCGCGGTGTCATTTACAACGCCTGTCTCCCTATGTAATGCAATTCAATATGAATGTGAATTCCTTACTCCTCTGACCAGTGTCTCACACGCTTTGACCAGAAAATTCAATTTGATTTCTTGAGCAGTCCGTTGACTTGAGTTACTTTACAGTACGCTGCAGCAGTCGATAGTAAAGAGCAAAATGAGAAGCTGAGCCCACCGAGTTCGCCGAAGCAGGACGTCAATGAAGTATCAGGTGGGTGTTTACAAAATGTAGCTCTGGAAGTTCTACATGGGTTCGTGGTGGTCACTAGGAAAATAGGAAATTGTTTAGATAGCGGAAAGACGGTAAAAGGCTTTTTTCCAGTCTACGATGTTCTGCCGAGAAGTCTGCGAGACGTCGCTGAACAACAGCTTGATGGATTTAGCAATCCGGAAATCCGTCGGTTGGACAGGGAAATTAACGGTATGGCTTAAGTGTTTCGGAAGTTCTCAGATGATCCTTGTTAGTCACTTATTCATATTTGATGTACCATTTTTTGCACACAGGCACTGGAGTGATTTACAGTCCATATCTAGGGCGCAGCAAAGGGCGTTTCTGTGAGATGGGCGGAGGGTCAGACGAGAGAGAGAGAGAGGCAGAGAACGTGTGCATGAACTGGAAGAGTCAGCACGGCAATACACAGCCGTTAACGGGACGCCTCTTTTGCTCTCCGATGTGGACGTACATCTGGGCCCAGTTCATCACAATCTTACGCTTTTAGATCCTCTCTATAACCTCTCAAATGATTCTTCCACTCCAACTTTTATTTACCTTTTAACTTTTTACTTCTGTTTTATTACTTATTTCTTTCCCTCTTTCATGAGTATAATCAGTTAATGGTAAAAAGGTGTGGCGGAGATGGTGTAGTGACAAGTGGCGCGCTCACCACCCGCGCGGTCCTGTTTTCAAGTCCAGGGGACTCCCGCCCAGGCCAGCCACGTCCCCCTCACACAACGGCCGGTAAATTGGTTCCAGAGCTTCGCATAGGGATAAAACACTGACTCGTACATCGGCTGGCCTCCCCAAGTCATTGTGTAGGCATTCAGTAAGTCACTACGATTCTGAATGGAAGTAAAATGCGTGCCGCATCCCAGGATGCTTATTGATCAACGGCGACTCATCCTTTTCACAAAAAGCTGGTATTTTCCTCAGTGTAAATGTCAAGCCAACAAGATTATAATCTTCCATGGATTAGTCCCACGTGCTGTGTGAAAATCTAAAAATTGCACTTACGCTAGCTTGAAGATCGACTCAATGGGTACCAGGCCATAAGGCTGGTTATATGGAGTTGAG